ACTTCCGCCGCCGTGAGTTGGCGAGTGCGGATGGCGCTGGGGCAGCTAGCGTCGGCCGTGGATATGGCCGAGGAAGAGGCAGAGGACGAGGGGGAGGAAGATCTGGTGGCGGCAACTTCAGTGGAGGCCGCGGGAACGGCAGTTACGGCAGCGACGACAAGAGCTACGGACGCGGTCGCGGTCGATTCGACGGCGAATGTCATTATTGCGGCAAGAGCGGACATATGTGGCGCGATTGCTTCAAACTCCCTGAAGGATGGACCCCTGCTCAAGGCCAAGAGGGTAAAGAAGCAGGAGGGAGAGGAAGAGGCCGTGGAGGCCGTGGCGGTCGCGGTGGCGGTGCTGCAAATGTGAAGAGCGAAGATAACGACAAGGACCCGAGCGGCGATCGGTACCCGGGCCTATTCTACTTCGTGTCGACGCAAGTACCGGCTGGTCCAGAGAAGGATGAAGACCTTGAGGAGCCAGCAGCTGTAGGGAAGGTGACCCTACACCCCTTGGACTATTGGGTGATCGACAGTGGCGCTACCTATAGCATGACACCTCGCCCGGACTTGCTCACCGAACTTGAACCGTCAACGGTGAAGCATGTCACATTGGCTTTGGGGCAGCGAGCAGAGGTAAAAGGCATGGGGAAGGCCATGTTCAAGGGTGCTGATGGGAAGATGGTGGGCCTCAAGAACGTGCTTTGGGTGCCCAGCCTTGCTGCGAACCTGATTTCCGTGCGGCGGTTGGCAAAGGCCGGCATGGACACTAACTCGAAGGGAGCCAAGACCTACACCGCAAGGCTTGGCGATCGGATTCTTTGGGACCTTCATGAGGACAGAGATGTCTACAACGAGATGTGGCAGATCCCTGTGGTCCCAATGCCTAAGGAGAGGCAAGTGGCAGCAAGCGTCAGCACTAAAGGTGGAGCGGTTGGTAGCGGCGATTGCGCGGACGGTCGCGCTAAGGAGAAGGAGTCCAAGAAGTGCAATCTTGGAGGGACCAGCAAGTTTAGTGAACCTAAGGAGAGTGGTGCAGCAACCAAGGAGCAGCAAAAGGGTGAGGAGAATCCCGAGGCAACAGCGGAGGAGGACTACGGAGAGAGTATGTGGGGCGCTATTGCGAGCGCGGCATTTTCGAATCCAACTTCGGCTACGGGGGAGTGTGATTGGCTCACCTTGCATCGGCGCATGGGGCATGTGGCCCTGCCCATCTTGCAGCAGCTAGTGAAGAATGAGATGGTTGCTGGCATACGTGTGAAGGGGGAGCCCGATGAGGTACTTGGCTGCCCGACGTGCATGCAAGCCAAGTTCACCCGTTTCCCATTCTCTAGTTCGGAGGCAATGGCTAAGGCACCACTTGATGAGGTGGTGATGGACGTGGTGGGCCCCCTGAAGCTTGGAGCTGCTGGAGCTGAGTACTTCCTCACTATTGTGGACGTCTACACCCGTATGACTTGGGTGTACGTGCTGGCCAAGAAGAGTGACGTGGCTGAAACGTTGAAGGCGGATTGGTTCCCGATGGTGGAGCGGCAACAAGACCGTCTAGTCAAGTCAATCCGCACCGATCGAGGGGGAGAGTTCCTGAGCAAGGAGTTTGGGTTGTGGCTGAAGAAGAATGGTATTCGGCACTCCCTCACCATGCCATACTCCCCTGCAATGAACGGCATCGCTGAGCGAGCGAACCGCACAATCACGGAGGCGGCACGCGGGTTGCTCATTGAAGCCGGGCTACCCGACTATTTCTGGCCTGATGCGGTACGGAGCGCATGTGTGGCCAAGAACAGAGCCTTGACTCATGTGGGAGCAGACAAATGGGTGCCCTATGTGGAGTGGCTAGGAAGGAAGCCAAAGGTGGATATGCTTCGGGTGTTCGGGTGCATGTGCATGGCGCTTGTGCCTAAGCATCTTCGGCACAACAAGCTTGGTGCCAAGGCGGTGTGGGCCGTGCACTTGGGCATGGCTCAAAACAGCAAGGGATGGCTTCTTTGGGACCCATTCACCAAGAAGTTCTTTGTGAGCAGGGACTGCAAGTTCATGGAGAACTTCATGTACAAGGATTGGAAGGCGGAGAATGAGGCGAAGATAGGCGTGCGGTTTGGGGAGGTGAAGAGTTCCGGTTTGGAGCATGTGGAGCTGCCTTTGGAGCTGAGCAGCGGCAGCACAACCACGAGGCAATCCTCCCTTGTGAAAGGGGGAGAGGAGGCCACTGATGCAGAAGAAGAAGAGGAGGAGGTGCACCAAGTGAGTGAGCGTGCACCGTCACTCCCTTCCCGTACCACGAGTGCTCCACGGAATCGAGCCACACCGCAGCAACGCCAAGGCCTTCAAGTCGCTGCAGCTGAGGAGGAAGGAAGGGGGAAGAGGAGAGTTCAACCCCCTAATAGGCTGACCTATGATGCACTTGGAAAGCAAGGCAAGACAGCCCTGGCCGGAGCGGCAATGATGGTCGGAGACGATGAGGAGAGTGACTACGAGGAGTGTGCCTTCGCGTTCTTCTCTCCGGTGGAGATGCCGGGAGAACCAGCAACTCTCAAGGAGGCTTTGGAGAGTACTGATGCTGAGGAGTGGAAGAAGGCTTTGGAGAGTGAGCTGAAGAGCATCGAGGAGAATGACACGTTTGAATTGGTGGAGCTACCGGAGGGGCGTACGGCGATAACGTCCAAGTGGCTCTTCAAAATCAAGTCGGATGCCGACGGCAAGATCGAGCGTTACAAGTCTAGGCTTGTAGCCAAGGGGTACCAGCAGAAGGAGAAGGTGGACTTCAAGGAGCTGTTTGCCCCTGTGGTGAAGCCGACGACGCTGCGAACCCTATTCGCGGGAGCCGCCATCAAAGGATGGGTGGTGAAGCAAATGGACATTGTGACGGCATTCCTTAACGGCATCCTTGAGGAGGAGATTTTTATGGCACAGCCAGAGGGGTTTGATGATGGTAGTGGCAGAGTGTGGAAGCTGAAGAAGGCCCTCTATGGGCTGAAGCAGGCCCCTAGGCAATGGTACATGAAGCTGCGCGAAGTGTTGGAGGAGATCGGCTTCACTCCCTCAACGGCCGATCACTCCTTGTTCATGCTTGGCGAGGGGGAGCAGAGGAGCTTCATGGTGGTTTATGTGGATGACATTCTCATATTCTCACCCTCCTCTGACCTTGTGAAGGAGGTGATTCTGAAGCTGCATGACAAGTTCAAGTGCAAGTCCCTTGGTGACGTGAACTTCTACCTTGGGCTCCACATCGAACGAGACGTGGAGAAGCGGAGCATGCGAGTGCACCAACGGAAGTACCTGGAGGCGTTGGCTGCCAACTTCGGCCAGAGTGAAGGTCATGTGGCTACTCCCTTTCCCTCTGGGTTCAAGTGTGTGAAGGGGCCAGAGGAGGAGAGCGTTGGAGAAGAGGAGAGGCGCCGATTTCACTCGTTGGTGGTAAACACCCGACTAGACGTCGCGTTTGCTACCGGGCAGCTGGCTAGGGTTGTGCAATGCCCTAATGAGGAGCAGGTATCAGCTGGAATGAGGGTGTCCAAGTATCTTGGCCAAACACCGACCGTTGGGCTGCAATACTCGGCGGCGGCACAAAGGCGCCAAAAGGGCGCGGATGGTGTTGAACCCGGGCGTTTGTTCCTCACCGCCTACTCGGATGCTTCATATGCATCAGAACCAGAGGACATGACAAGTGTGGGAGGCTTCATATGCTGTGTTGGTGGAGGCCCAACTGCTTGGGAGAGCAAGAAGCAGGTTGACCAAGCTTTGAGCTCGGTGGAGTCCGAATACATGGCACTCTTCCGTGCCGTACGGGAGATTGTGTGGCAGCGGCGTTTGTTGGCTGAATTGGGGGAGGAGCAGCAAGGACCTACCCCACTGTATTGTGACAGCCAGGGTGCCATTGCTCTTGCTAAGAACCCTGTGTTGCATGGACTCACGAAGCACATGAGGGTGAAGTGGCATTGGACGAGGAGCATGGTAACCGCGGGTGAAGTTGAGTTGCGCTACGTGAAGACCACGGGGCAGCCGGCTGACATGATGACCAAGAGGCTGGTGGAGCAGCAGCATTGGAAGTGTTGCAAGCTGGCTGGGATGGCTCTGAACTGACAGAGCAACACATCCTAAGGCCAACAATCCGAGGGGGAGTTTGTTGGTGCAACCCTATGGTTTGCACTCGGCTTGTTGTCCGTGTGCGTGCATGTGTGTGTGTCTATGGAATGGTATGAGGGCATGGGATAATATATATTTAATGCTTATAATTGTGTGTGAATGTTGAGTCATGATGTCGAGTGTATGTGTCGAGTCAATAGCGAATTATCGCTAGACGCGTGTTACGCGGTCGTTTGTGTCTCGCGCGCGGTTTCTATTTTGTCGTGCGCGGATTCTCTTTTGTCCTGTGTCGAACGTTCGGTGTGTCGCAGGTGTGTGCAGCAGACCCATCAAGAACTCAAGGATGAGTTTGTGATGAAGAGCCGAGCCTTGGTGTCAATCCACAAGTGATTTCAAAGCTCGCCAAAAGGGTACACCTCAAGATATTGAAGATAGTTACATTACTTTGTGTAGTGTAACATTTCACTTGGTGTAGGCCCTAGTGAAGGGTAGTTTCGAGACCCTTCGTGGTTGGGGACAGTGTGGCACTGTTCCACATCACTGTACCTCGGCTCTTGGGGTTTGTAGGAGCTGGGAGTCATTCCCAACTCATAACTCTTCCCAACTCTTCCTATCTTGTGTTCTAAGACCATAGTAGCTGCCATAGTGCCGTTCGTTCAAACCAACCCTGTGTCGTCAATACTTGGTCAAGTCGTGCGATCTAAATTGCCTATTGTAGGCGACAATAAGGCGCTCCAGATCCAAGTTGAATCAAGTCATTTGAAGCTGTGACCAAAACGCTATGAACGTTTGAAGCCGCTGTGCAGAAATCCGACTGTGCACTCTATCTTTCGTTTTAGGCACATAGGAGCCTACTGTGACTATAACAGCGGGGTGATGGAAAGCGGGAGAATGGGGCGGGGTGATGGAAAGCAGGAGAATGGGGTGGGGTTATGGAAAGCGGGAGAATGAGGCGGGTTGATGGAAAGCGGGAGAATGGGGCGGGGTGATGGAAAGCGGGAGAATGGGGTGGGGTGATGGAAAGAGGGAGAATGTTGCGGGGTGATGGAAAGAGGGAGAATAGGGCAGGGTTATGGAAAGAGGGAGAATGGGGCGGGGTGATGAAATAGCGGGAGAATGGGGCGGGGTGATGGAACGCGGGAGAATGGGGCGGGGTGATGGAAAGAGGGAGAATGGGGCGGGCTGATGGAAAGAGGGAGAATGGGGCGGGGTAATGGAAAGCGGAAGAATGGGGCGGGGTGATTGAAAGCGGGAGAATGGGGCGGGATGATGGAAAGCGGGAGAATGGGGCTGGGTGATGGAGAGAGGGAGAATGGGGCGGGGAGATGGAAAGAGGGAGAATGGGGCGGGGTGATGGAAAGCGGAAGAATGGGGCGGGGTGATGGAAAGCGGGAGAATGGGGCGGGGTGATGGAAAGCGGGAGAATGGGGCGCGGAGATGGAAAGCGGGAGAATGGGGCGGGGTGATGGAAGGAGGAAGAAAGGGGCGGGGTGATGGAAAGCGGGAGAATGGGGCGGGATGATGGAAAGCGTGAGAATGGGGCGGGGTGATGGAAAGAGGGAGAATAGGGCGGGGTGATGGAAAGCGGGAGAATGGGGTGGGGTAATGGAAAGCGGGAGAATGGGCCGGGGTGATGGGAAGAGGGAGAATAGGGCGGGGTGATGGAACGAGGGAGAATGGGGCGGGGTGATGGAAAGAGGGAGAATGGGGCGGGGTGATGGAAAGCGGGAGAATGGGGCGGGGTGATGGAAAGCGGGGTGATGGAAAGCGGGAGAATGGGGCAGGGGTGATAGAAATAGGGAGAATAGGGCGGGGTGATGGAGAGCGGGAGAATGGGGCAGGCTGATGGAAAGAGGGGGAACGGGGCGGGGTGATGGAAAGAGGGAGAATGGGACGGGGTGATGAAAAGCGAAAGAATGGGGCGGGGCGATGGAAAGAGGAAGGATGGGGTGGGGTGATGGAAAGAGGGAGAATGGGGCGGGGTGATGAAAAGAGGGAGAATGGGGCGGGGTGATGGAAAGCGAAGGAATGGGGCGGGGTGATGGAAAACGGGAGAATGGGGTGGGGTGATGGAAAGCGGGAGAATGGGGCGGGGTGATGGAAATTGGAGAATGGGGCGGGGTGATGGAAAGAGGGAGAAAGGGGCGGGGTGATGGAAAGCGGGAGAATGGGGCGGGGTGATGGAAAGCGGGAGAATGGGGCGGGGTGATGGAAAGCGGGAGAATGGGGCGGGGTGATGGAAAGCTGGAGAATGGGGCGGGGTGATGGAAAGCGGGAGAATGGGGCGGGGTGATGGAAAGCGGGAGAATGGGGCCGGGTGATGGAAAGCTTGAGATTAGGGCGCGGTGATGGAAAGCGGGAGAATGGGGCGAAGTGATGGAAAGCGGGAGAACGGGGCGGGGTGATGGAAAGCGGGAGAATGGGGCGGGGTGGTGGAAAGCGGTAGAATGGGGCGGGGTGATGGAAAGCGGGAGAATGGGGCGGGGTGATGAAAAGCGGAAGAATGGGGCGGGGTGAAGAAAAGCGGGAGAATGGGGCGGGCTGATGGAAAGAGGGGGAATGGGGCGGGGTGAAGGAAAGAGGGAGAATGGGGCAGGGTGATGAAAAGCGGAAGAATGGGGTGGGGTGATGGAAAGTAGGAGAATGGGGCGGGGTGAAGAAAAGCGGGAGAATGGGGCGGGTTGATGGAAAGATGGAGAATGGGGCGGGGTGAATGGGGCGGGGTGATGGAAAGCGGGGGAATGGGGCGGGGTGATGGAAAGCGGGAGAATGGGGTGGGGTGATGGAAAGCGGGAGAATGGGGAGGGGTGATGGAAAGCGGGAGAATGGGGCGGGGTGATGGAAAGCGGGAGAATGGGGCGGGGCGATGGAAAGCGGCAGAATTGGGCGGGTTGATGGAAAGCGGGAGAATGGGGCGGGGTGATAGAAAGCTGGAGAATGGGGCGGGGTGATGGAAAGCGGGAGAATGGGGCGGGGTGATGGTAAGCTGGAGAATGGGGCGGGGTGATGGAAAGCGGAAGAATGGGGCGGGGTGATGGAAAGAGGGAGCATGGGGCAGGGTGATGGAAATAGGGAGAATGGGGCCGGGTGACGGAAAGATGGAGACTGGGGCGGGGTGATGGAAAGAGGGAGAATGGGGCGGGGTGATGGAAAGCGGGAGAATGGGGCGGGGTGACGGAAAGTGGGAGAATGGAGCGGGGTGATGGAAATAGGGAGAATGGGCCGGGGTGATGGATAGCGGGAGAATGGGGCGGGGTGGTGGAAAGAGGGAGAATGGGGCGGGGTGATGAAAAGAGGGAGAATGGGACGGGGTGATGGAAAGCGGGAGAATGGGGCGGGGTGATGGAAAGCTGGAGAATAGGGCGGGGTGATGGAAAGCAGGAGAATAGGGCGGGTTGATGGAAAACAGGAGGATGGGCCGGGGTGATGGAAAGCGGGAGAATGGGGCGGGGTGATGAAAAGCGGGAGAATGGGGCGAGGTGACGGAAAGCGGGAGAATGGGGCGGGGTGATGGAAAGCAGGAGAATGGGGCGTGGTGATGGAAAGCTTGAAAATGGGACGGGGTGATGGAAAGCGGGAGAATGGGGCGGGGTGATGGAAAGCGGGAGAATGGGGCGGGGTGATGGAAAGCGGGAGAATGGGGCGGGGTAATGGAAAGCGGGAGAATGGGGCAGGGTGGTGGAAAGCGGGAGAATAGGGCGGGGTGATGGAAAGCGGGAGAATGGGGCGGGGTGATGGAAAGCGGGAGAATGGGGCGGGGTGATGGAACGCGGGAGAAAGGGGTCGGGTGATGGAAAGCGGGAGAGTGGGGCGGGGTGATGGAAAGAGGGAGAATAGGGTGGGGTGATGGAAAGAGGGAGAATGGAAAAGGGTGATGGAAAGAGGGAGAATGGGGCGGGGTGATGGAAAGCGGGAGAATGGGGCGGGGTGATGGAAAGCGGGAGAATGGGGCGGGGTGATGAAAAGCGGAAGAATGGGGCGGGGTGAAGAAAAGCGGGAGAATGGGGCGGGCTGATGGAAAGAGGGGGAATGGGGCGGGGTGATGGAAAGAGGGAGAATGGGGCAGGGTGATGAAAAGCGGAAGAATGGGGTGGGGTGATGGAAAGAGGGAGAATGGGGCGGGGTGAAGAAAAGCGGGAGAATGGGGCAGGTTGATGGAAAGAGGGAGAATGGGGCGGGGTGATGGAAAGCGGGAGAATGGGGCGGGGTGATGGAAAGCGGGAGAATGGGGCGGGGTGATGGAAAGCGGGAGAATGGGGCAGGGTGATGGAAAGCGGGAGAATTGGGCGGGTTGATGGAAAGCGGGAGAATGGGGCGGGGTGATGGAAAGCTGGAGAATGGGGCGGGGTGATGGAAAGCGGGAGAAAGGGGCGGGGTGATGGTAAGCTGGAGAATGGGGCGGGGTGATGGAAAGCGGAAGAATGGGGCGGGGTGATGGAAATAGGGAGGATGGGGCGAGTGATGGAAAGAGGGAGCATGGGGCAGGGTGATGGAAATGGGGAGAATGGGGCGGGGTGATGGAAAGAGGGAGACTGGGGCGGGGTGATGGAAAGAGGGAGAATGGGGTGGGGTGATGGAAAGCGGGAGAATGGGGCGGGGTGACGGAAAGGGAGGGAATGGGGCGGGGTGATGGAAAGTGGGAGAATGGAGCGGGGTGATGGAAATAGGGAGAATGGGCCGGGGTGATGGAAAGGGGGAGAATGGGGCGGGGTGGTGGAAAGAGGGAGAATGGGGCGGGGTGATGAAAAGAGGGAGAATGGGGCGGGGTGATGGAATGCGGGAGAATGGGGTGGGGTGATGGAAAGCGGGAGAATGGGGCGGGGTGATGGAAAGCGGGAGAATGGGGCGGGGTGATGGAAAGAGGGAGAAAGGGGCGGGGTGATGGAAAGCGGGAGAATGGGGCGGGGTGATGGAAAGCGGGAGAATGGGGCGGGGTGATGGAAAGCGGGAGAATGGGGCGGGGTGATGGAAAGCTGGAGAATGGGGCGGGGTGATGGAAAGCGGGAGAATGGGGCGGGGTGATGGAAAGCTGGAGAATGGGGCCGGGTGATGGAAACCTTGAGAATAGGGCGGGGTGATGGAAAGCGGGAGAATGGGGCGGAGTGGTGGAAAGCGGGAGAACGGGGCGGGGTGATGGAAAGTGGGAGAATGGGGCGGGGTGATGGAAAGCGGGAGAATGGGGCGGGGTGATGGAAAGCGGGAGAATGGGGCGGGGTGATGAAAAGCGGCAGAATGGGGCGGGGTGAAGAAAAGCGGGAGAATGGGGCGGGCTGATGGAAAGAGGGGGAATGGGGCGGGGTGAAGGAAAGAGGGAGAATGGGGCAGGGTGATGAAAAGCGGAAGAATGGGGTGGGGTGATGGAAAGAGGGAGAATGGGGCGGGGTGAAGAAAAGCGGGAGAATGGGGCGGGTTGATGGAAAGAGGGAGAATGGGGCGGGGTGAATGGGGCGGGGTGATGGAAAGCGGAAGAATGGGGCGGGGTGATGGAAAGCGGGAGAATGGGGCAGGGTGATGGAAAGCGGGAGAATGGGGCGGGGTTATGGAAAGCGGGAGAATGGGGCGGGGTGATCGAAAGCAGGAGAACGGGGCGGGGTGATGGAAAGCGGGAGAATGGGGCGGGGTGATGGAAAGCGGGAGAATGGGGCGGGGTGATGGTAAGCTGGAGAATGGGGCGGGGTGATGGAAAGCGGAAGAATGGGGCGGGGTGATGGAAAGAGGGAGCATGGGGCAGGGTGATGGAAATAGGGAGAATGGGGCCGGGTGACGGAAAGATGGAGACTGGGGCGGGGTGATGGAAAGAGGGAGAATGGGGCGGGGTGATGGAAAGCGGGAGAATGGGGCGGGGTGACGGAAAGCGGGAGAATGGGGCGGGGTGATGGAAAGTGGGAGAATGGAGCGGGGTGATGGAAATAGGGAGAATGGGCCGGGGTGATGGATAGCGGGAGAATGGGGCGGGGTGGTGGAAAGAGGGAGAATGGGGCGGGGTGATGAAAAGAGGGAGAATGGGACGGGGTGATGGAAAGCGGGAGAATGGGGCGGGGTGATGGAAAGCTGGAGAATAGGGCGGGGTGATGGAAAGCAGGAGAATGGGGCGGGTTGATGGAAAACAGGAGAATGGGCCGGGGTGATGGAAAGCGGGAGAATGGGGCGGGGTGATGAAAAGCGGGAGAATGGGGCGAGGTGATGGAAAGCGGGAGAATGGGGCGGGGTGATGGAAAGCAGGAGAATGGGGCGTGGTGATGGAAAGCTTGAAAATGGGACGGGGTGATGGAAAGCGGGAGAATGGGGCGGGGTGATGGAAAGCGGGAGAATGGGGCGGGGTGATGGAAAGCGGGAGAATGGGGCGGGGTAATGGAAAGCGGGAGAATGGGGCAGGGTGGTGGAAAGCGGGAGAATAGGGCGGGGTGATGGAAAGCGGGAGAATGGGGCGGGGTGATGGAAAGCGGGAGAATGGGGCGGGGTGATGGAACGCGGGAGAAAGGGGTCGGGTGATGGAAAGCGGGAGAGTGGGGCGGGGTGATGGAAAGAGGGAGAATAGGGTGGGGTGATGGAAAGAGGGAGAATGGAAAAGGGTGATGGAAAGAGGGAGAATGGGTCGGGGTGATGGAAAGCGGGAGAATGGGGCGGGGTGATGGAAAGCGGGAGAATGGGGCGGGGTGATGGAAAGCGGGAGAATGGGGCGGGGTGATGAAAAGCGGAAGAATGGGGCGGGGTGAAGAAAAGCGGGAGAATGGGGCGGGCTGATGGAAAGAGGGGGAATGGGGCGGGGTGATGGAAAGAGGGAGAATGGGGCAGGGTGATGAAAAGCGGAAGAATGGGGTGGGGTGATGGAAAGAGGGAGAATGGGGCGGGGTGAAGAAAAGCGGGAGAATGGGGCAGGTTGATGGAAAGAGGGAGAATGGGGCGGGGTGATGGAAAGCGGGAGAATGGGGCGGGGTGATGGAAAGCGGGAGAATGGGGCGGGGTGATGGAAAGCGGGAGAATGGGGCAGGGTGATGGAAAGCGGGAGAATTGGGCGGGTTGATGGAAAGCGGGAGAATGGGGCGGGGTGATGGAAAGCTGGAGAATGGGGCGGGGTGATGGAAAGCGGGAGAAAGGGGCGGGGTGATGGTAAGCTGGAGAATGGGGCGGGGTGATGGAAAGCGGAAGAATGGGGCGGGGTGATGGAAATAGGGAGGATGGGGCGAGTGATGGAAAGAGGGAGCATGGGGCAGGGTGATGGAAATGGGGAGAATGGGGCGGGGTGATGGAAAGAGGGAGACTGGGGCGGGGTGATGGAAAGAGGGAGAATGGGGCGGGGTGATGGAAAGCGGGAGAATGGGGCGGGGTGACGGAAAGCGAGGGAATGGGGCGGGGTGATGGAAAGTGGGAGAATGGAGCGGGGTGATGGAAATAGGGAGAATGGGCCGGGGTGATGGAAAGCGGGAGAATGGGGCGGGGTGGTGGAAAGAGGGAGAATGGGGCGGGGTGATGAAAAGAGGGAGAATGGGGCGGGGTGATGGAATGCGGGAGAATGGGGTGGGGTGATGGAAAGCGGGAGAATGGGGCGGGGTGATGGAAAGCGGGAGAATGGGGCGGGGTGATGGAAAGAGGGAGAAAGGGGCGGGGTGATGGAAAGCGGGAGAATGGGGCGGGGTGATGGAAAGCGGGAGAATGGGGCGGGGTGATGGAAAGCGGGAGAATGGGGCGGGGTGATGGAAAGCTGGAGAATGGGGCGGGGTGATGGAAAGCGGGAGAATGGGGCGGGGTGATGGAAAGCTGGAGAATGGGGCCGGGTGATGGAAACCTTGAGAATAGGGCGGGGTGATGGAAAGCGGGAGAATGGGGCGGAGTGGTGGAAAGCGGGAGAACGGGGCGGGGTGATGGAAAGTGGGAGAATGGGGCGGGGTGATGGAAAGCGGGAGAATGGGGCGGGGTGATGGAAAGCGGGAGAATGGGGCGGGGTGATGAAAAGCGGCAGAATGGGGCGGGGTGAAGAAAAGCGGGAGAATGGGGCGGGCTGATGGAAAGAGGGGGAATGGGGCGGGGTGAAGGAAAGAGGGAGAATAGGGCAGGGTGATGAAAAGCGGAAGAATGGGGTGGGGTGATGGAAAGAGGGAGAATGGGGCGGGGTGAAGAAAAGCGGGAGAATGGGGCGGGTTGATGGAAAGAGGGAGAATGGGGCGGGGTGAATGGGGTGGGGTGATGGAAAGCGGAAGAATGGGGCGGGGTGATGGAAAGCGGGAGAATGGGGCAGGGTGATGGAAAGCGGGAGAATGGGGCGGGGTTATGGAAAGCGGGAGAATGGGGCGGGGTGATCGAAAGCAGGAGAACGGGGCGGGGTGATGGAAAGAGGGAGAAAGGGGCGGGGTGATGGAAAGCGGGAGAATGGGGCGGGGTGATGGAAAGCGGGAGAATGGGGCGGGGTGATGGAAAGCGGGAGAATGGGGCGGGGTGATGGAAAGCTGGAGAATGGGGCGGGGTGATGGAAAGCGGGAGAATGGGGCGGGGTGATGGAAAGCTGGAGAATGGGGCCGGGTGATGGAAACCTTGAGAATAGGGCGGGGTGATGGAAAGCGGGAGAATGGGGCGGAGTGGTGGAAAGCGGGAGAACGGGGCGGGGTGATGGAAAGTGGGAGAATGGGGCGGGGTGATGGAAAGCGGGAGAATGGGGCGGGGTGATGGAAAGCGGGAGAATGGGGCGGGGTGATGAAAAGCGGCAGAATGGGGCGGGGTGAAGAAAAGCGGGAGAATGGGGCGGGCTGATGGAAAGAGGGGGAATGGGGCGGGGTGAAGGAAAGAGGGAGAATGGGGCAGGGTGATGAAAAGCGGAAGAATGGGGTGGGGTGATGGAAAGAGGGAGAATGGGGCGGGGTGAAGAAAAGCGGGAGAATGGGGCGGGTTGATGGAAAGAGGGAGAATGGGGCGGGGTGAATGGGGCGGGGTGATGGAAAGCGGAAGAATGGGGCGGGGTGATGGAAAGCGGGAGAATGGGGCAGGGTGATGGAAAGCGGGAGAATGGGGCGGGGTTATGGAAAGCGGGAGAATGGGGCGGGGTGATCGAAAGCAGGAGAACGGGGCGGGGTGATGGAAAGCGGGAGAATGGGGCGGGTTGATGGAAAGCGAGAGAATGGGGCGGGGTGATGGAAAGCTGGAGAATGGGGCGAGGTGATGGAAAGCAAGAGAATTGGGCGGGGTGATGGTAAGCTGGAGAATGGGGCGGGTGATGGAAAGGGGGAGAATGGGGCGGGGTGATGGAAGGAGGGAGAATGGGGAGGGGTGATGGAAAGTGGGGGAATGGGGCGGGGTTATGGGAAGCGGAAGAAAGGGGCGGGGTGATGGAAAGCGGGAGAATGGGGCGGGGTGATGGAAAGCGGGAGAATGGGGCGGGGAGATGGAAAGCGGGAGAAAGGGGCGGGGTGATGGAAAGCGGGAGAATGGGGCGGGCTGATGGAAAGTGGGAGAATGGGGCGGGGTGATGGAAGGAGGGAGAATGGGGCGGGATGATGGAAGGAGAGAGAAGGGGGCGGGGTGATGGAAAGTGGGAAAATGTGGCGGGGTGATGGAAAGCGGGAGAATGGGGTGGGGTTATGGGAAGCGGGAGAATGGGGCGTGGTGATGGAAAGCGGGAGAATGGGGCGGGGTGATGGAATGAGGGAGAATGGGGCCGGGTGATGGAAGGAGGGAGATTGGGGCGGGGTAATGGAAAGCGGAAGAATGGGGCGGGGTGATGGAAGGAGGGAGAATGGGGCGGGGTGATGGAAAGCGGGAGAATGGGGCGGGGTGATGGAAAGCGGGAGAATGGGGCGGGGTGATGGAATGCGAGAGAATGGGGCGGGGTGATGGAAGGAGGGAGAATGGGGAGGGGTGATGGAAAGCGGGGGAATGGGGCGGGATGATGGGAAGCGGAAAAATGGGGCGGGGTGATGGAAAGCGGGAGAATGGGGCGGGGTGACGGAAAGCGGGAGAATGGGGCGGGGAGATGGAAAGCGGGAGAATGGGGCGGGGTGATGGAAAGCGGGAGAATGGGGCGGGCTGATGGAAAGCGGGAGAATGGGGCAGGGTGATGGAAGGAGGGAGAATGGGGCGGGGTGATGGAAGGAGAGAGAAGGGGGCGGGGTGATGGAAAGTGGGAGAATGGGGCGGGGTGATGGAAAGAGGGAGAATGAGGCGGGGTGATGGAAAGTGGGAGAATGGGGCGGGGTGATGGAAACCGGGAGAATGGGGCGGGGTGATGGAAAGAGGAAGAATGGGGCGGGGTGATGGAAAGAGGAAGAATGGGGCGGGGTGATGGAAAGAGGGAGAATGGGGCGGGGTGATGGAAAGAGGGAGAATGGGGCGGGGTGATGGAAAGCGGGAGCATGGGGCGAAGTGATGGAAAAAGGGAGAATGGGGAGGGGTGATGGAAAGAGGGAGAATTGGGCGGGGTGATGGAAAGCAGACAATGGAGCGGGATGATGGAAAGCGAGAGAATGGGGCGGGGTGATGGAAAGCGGGAGAATGGGGCGGGGTGATGGAAAGAGGGAAAATGGCGCGCGATGATGGAAAGCGGGAGAATGGGGCGGGGTGATGGAAAGAGGGAGAATGGGGCGGGGTGATGGAAAGAGGGAGAATGGGGCGGGGTGATGGAAAGCGGGAGAATGGGGCGGGGTGATGGAAAGAGGGAGAATGGGGCGGGGTGATGGAAAGAGGGAGAATTGGGCGGGGTGATGGAAGGCGGGAGAGTGGGGCGGGGTGATGGAAAGAGGGAGAATGGGGCGGAGTGATGGAAAGAGGTAGAATGGGGCGGGGTGATGGAAAGTGGGAGAATGGGGCGGGGTGATGGAAATCGGGAGAATGGGGCGGGGTGATGGAAAGAGGAAGAATGGGGCGGGGTGATGGAAAGAGGAAGAATGGGGCGGGGTGATGGAAAGCGGGAGAATGGGGCGGGATGATGGAAAGCGGGAGAATGGGGCGGGGTGATGGAAAGCGGGGGAACGGGGCGGGGTGATGGAAAGAGGGAGAATGGGGCGAGGCGATGGAAAGCGGGAGAAAGGGGCGGGGTGATGGAAAGCGGGAGAATGGGGCGGGGTGGTGGAAAGCGGGAGAATGGGGCGGGGTGATGGAAAGCGGGAGAATGGGGCGGGGTGATGGAAAGCGGGAGAATGGGGCGGGTGATGGAAAGTGGGAGAATAGGGAGGGTTGATGGAAAGTGGGAGAATTGGGCGGGGTGATGGACAGCGGGAGAATGGAGCGGGTCGATGGAAAGCGGGAGAATGGGGCGGGGTGATGGAAAGTGGTAGAATGGGACGGGGTGATGGATAGAGGGAGAATGGGGCGGGGTGATGGAAAGCGGGAGAATTGGGCGGGGTGATGGAAAGAGGGAGAATAGGGCGGGGTGATGGAAAGAGGGAGAATGGGGCGGGGTGATGGAAAGCGGGAGAATGGGGCGGGCTGATGGAAAGAGGGAGAATGGGGCGGGGTGATGGAAAGCGGGAGAATGGGGCGGGGTGATGCAAATCGGGAGAATTGGGCGGGGTGATGGAAAGCGGGAGAATGGAGCGGGGTGATGGAAAGCGAGAGAATGGGGCAGGGTGATGGAAAGTGGAAGAATGGGGCGGGGTGATGGATAGCAGGAGAATGGGGCGGGGTGATGGAAAGAGGGAGAATGGGGCGGGGTGATGGAAAGAGGGAGAATTGGGCGGGGTGATGGAAGGCGGGAGAGTGGGGCGGGGTGATGGAAAGAGGGAGAATGGGGCGGAGTGATGGAAAGAGGTAGAATGGGGCGGGGTGATGGAAAGTGGGAGAATGGGGCGGGGTGATGGAAATCGGGAGAATGGGGCGGGGTGATGGAAAGAGGAAGAATGGGGCGGGGTGATGGAAAGAGGAAGAACGGGGCGGGGTGATGGAAAGCGGGAGAATGGGGCGGGATGATGGAAAGCGGGAGAATGGGGCGGGGTGATGGAAAGCGGGGGAACGGGGCGGGGTGATGGAAAGAGGGAGAATGGGGCGAGGCGATGGAAAGCGGGAGAAAGGGGCGGGGTGATGGAAAGCGGGAGAATGGGGCAGGGTGGTGGAAAGCGGGAGAATGGGGCGGGGTGATGGAAAGCGGGAGAATGGGGCGGGGTGATGGAAAGCGGGAGAATGGGGCGGGTGATGGAAAGTGGGAGAATAGGGAGGGTTGATGGAAAGTGGGAGAATTGGGCGGGGTGATGGACAGCGGGAGAATGGAGCGGGGTGATGGAAAGCGGGAGAATGGGGCGGGGTGATGGAAAGTGGTAGAATGGGACGGGGTGATGGATAGAGGGAGAATGGGGCGGGGTGATGGAAAGCGGGAGAATTGGGCGGGGTGATGGAAAGAGGGAGAATAGGGCGGGGTGATGGAAAGAGGGAGAATGGGGCGGGGTGATGGAAAGCGGGAGAATGGGGCGGGCTGATGGAAAGAGGGAGAATGGGGCGGGGTGATGGAAAGCGGGAGAATGGGGCGGGGTGATGCAAATCGGGAGAATTGGGCGGGGTGATGGAAAGCGGGAGAATGGAGCGGGGTGATGGAAAGCGAGAGAATGGGGCAGGGTGATGGAAAGTGGAAGAATGGGGCGGGGTGATGGATAGCAGGAGAATGGGGCGGGGTGATGGAAAGCGGGAGAATGGCGCGGGCTGATAGAAAGAGGGAGAATGGGGAGGGGTGATGGAAAGAGGGAGAATTGGGCGGGGTGATGGAAAGCGGGAGGATGGAGCGGGGTGATGGAAAGCGGGAGAATGGGGCGGGGTCATGGAAAGCGGGAGAATGGGCGGGGTTATGGAAAGAGAGAGAATGGGGCGGGGTGATGGAAAGCAGGAGAATGGGAGGGGGTGATGGAAAGCAGGAGAATTGGGCGGGGTGATAGATAGAGGGAGAATGGGACAGGGTGATGGAAAGTGGGAGAATGGGGTGGGGTGATGGAAAGAGGGAAAATCGCGCGGGGTGATGGAAAGCGGGAGAATGGGGCGGGGTGATGGAAAGAGGGAGAATGGGGCGGGGTGATGAAAAGAGGGAGAATGGGGTGGGGTGATGGAAAGCGGGAGAATGGGGCGGGGTGATGGAAAGAGGGAGAATGGGGCGGGGTGATGGAAAGAGGGAGAATGGGGTGGGGTGACGGAAAGCGGTAGAATGGGGCGGGGTGATGGAAAGCGGGAGAATGGGGCGGGGTGATGGAAAGAGGGAGAATGGGGCGGGGTGATGGAAAGAGGGAGAATGGGGCTAGGTGATGGAAAGCGGGAGAATGGGGCGGGGTGATGGAAAAGTGGAGAATGGGGAGGGGTGATGGAAAGAGGGAGAATTGGGCGGGGTGATGGAAAGCGGGACAATGGAGCGGGATGATGGAAAGCGAGAGAATGGGGCGGGGTGATGGAAAGCGGGAGAATGGGGCGGGGTGATGGAAAGAGGGAAAATGGCGCGGGGTGATGGAAAGCGGGAGAATGGGGCGGGGTGATGGAAAGAGGGAGAATGGGGCGGGGTGATGGAAAGAGGGAGAATGGGGCGGGGTGATGGAAAGCGGGAGAATGGGGCGGGGTGATGGAAAAAGGGAGAATGGGGAGGGGTGATGGAAAGAGGGAGAATTGGGCGGGTGTTATAGTCACAGTAGGCTCCAATGTGCCTAAAACGAAAGATAGAGTGCACAGTCGGATTTCTGCACAGCGGCTTCAAATGACTTGATTCAACTTGGATCTGGAGCGTCTTATTGTCGCCTACAATAGGCAATTTAGATCGCACGATTTGACCAAGTATTGACGACACAGGGTTGGTTTGAACGAACGGCACTATGGCAGCCACTATAGTCTTAGAACACAAGATAGGAAGAGTTAGGAAGAGTTACGAGTTGGGAATGACTCCCAGCTCCTACAAACCCCAAGAGCCGAGGTACAGTGATGTGGAACAGTGCCACACTGTCCCCAACCACGAAGGGTCTCGAAACTACCCTTCACTAGGGCCTACACCAAGTGAAATGTTACACTACACAAAGTAATGTAACTATCTTCAATATCTTGAGGTGTACCCTTTTGGCGATCTTTGAAATCACTTGAGGATTGACACCAAGGCTCGGCTCTTCATCACAAACTCATCCTTGTGTTCTTGATGGGTCTGCTGCACACACCTGTGACACACCGAACGTTCGACACAGGACAAAAGAGAAACCGCGCACGACAAAATAGAAACCGCGCGCGAGACACAAACGACCGCGTAACACGCGTCTAGCGATAATTCGCTATTGACTCGACACATACACTCGACATCATGACTCAACATTCACACACAATTATAAGCATGAAATATATATTATCCCATGCCCTCATACCATTCCATACACACACACACATGCACGCACACGGACAACAAGCCGAGTGCAAACCATAGGGTTGCACCAACAGCAGGGTGATTGAAAGCGGGACAATGGAGCGGGATGATGGAAAGCGAGAGAATGGGGCGGGGTGATGGAAAGCGGGAGAATGGGGCGGGGTGATGGAAAGAGGGAAAATGGCGCGGGGTGATGGAAAGCGGGAGAATGGGGCGGGGTGATGGAAACAGGGAGAATGGGGCAGGGTGATGGAAAGAGGGAGAATGGGGCGGGGTGATGGAAAGCGGGAGAATGGGGCGGGGTGATGGAAAGAGGGAGAATGGGGCGGGGTGATGGAAAGAGGGAGAATTGGGCGGGGTGATGGAAGGCGGCAGAGTGGGGCAGGGTGATGGAAAGAGGGAGAATGGGGCGGGGTGATGGAAAGAGGGAGAATGGGGCGGGGTGATGGAAAGTGGGAGAATGGGGCGGGGTGATGGAAACCGGGAGAATGGGGCGGGGTGATGGAAAGAGGAAGAATGGGGCGGGGTGATGGAAAGAGGAAGAATAGGGCGGGGTGATGGAACGCGGGAGAAAGGGGCGGGGTGATGGAAAGCGGGAGAATGGGGCGGGGTGAGGGAAAGCGGGAGAATGGGGCGGGGTGATGGAAAGAGGGAGAATGGGGCGGGGTGATGGAAAGCAGGAGAATGGGGCAGGGTGATGGAAAGCGGGAGAATGGGGCGGGGTGATGGAAAGCGGGAGAATGGGGCGGAGTGATGGAAAGCGGGAGAATGGGGCGGGGTGATGGAAAGCAGGAGAATGGGGCCGGGTGATGGAAAGCGGGAGAATGGGGCGGGGTGATGGAAAGAGGAAGAATATGGCGGGGTGATGGAAAGCGGGAGAATGGGGCAGGGTGATGCAAAGCGGGAGAATGGGGCAGGGTGGTGGAAAGCGGGAGAATGGGGCAGGGTGGTGGAAAGCGGGAGAATGGGGCGGGCTGATGGAAAGAGGGGGAATGGGGCGGGGTGATGGAAAGAGGGAGAATGGGTCGGGTTGATGAAAAGCGGAAGAATGGGGCAGGGTGATGGAAAGAGGGAGAATGGGGCGAGGTGATGGAAAGAAGGTTAATGGGGCGGGGTGATGGAAAACGGGAGAATGGGGCGGGGTGATGGAAAGCGGGAGAATGGGGCGGGGTGATGGAAAGCGGGAGAATGGGGCGGGGTGATGTAAAGAGGGAGAATAGGGCGGGATGATGGAAAGAGGGAGAATGGGGCTGGGTGATGAAAAGAGGGAGAATGGGTCGGGGTGATGGAAAGCGGGAGAATGGGGCAGGGTGATGGAAAGCGGGAGAATGGGGTGGGGTGATGGAAAGCGGGAGAATGGGGTGGGGTGATGGAAAGCGGGAGAATGGGGCGGGGTGATGGAAAGCGGGAGAACGGGGCGGGGTGATGGAAAGCAAGAGAATGGGGCGGGGTGATGGAAAGCGGGAGAATGGGGCAGGGTGATGGAAGGCGGGAGAATGGGGAAGGGTGGTGGAAAGCGGGAGAATGGGGCGGGCTGATGGAAAGAGGGGGAATGGAGCGAGGTGATGGAAAGAGGGAGAATGGGGCGTGGTGATGAAAAGCGGAAGAATGGGGCGGGGTGATGGAAAGAGGGAGAATGGGGCGGGGTGATGGAAAGAGGCTGAATGGGGCGGGGTGATGGAAAGCGGAAGAATGGGGCGGGGTGATGGAAAGCGGGAGAATGGGGCGGGGTGATGGAAAGCAGGAGAATGGGACAGGGTCATAATAAGCGGGAGAATGGGGCGGGGTGATGGAAAGAGGGAGAATGGGGCGGGGTGATGGAAAGCGGGAGAATGGGGCGGGGTGATGGAAAGCGGAAGAATCGGGCGGGGCGATGGAAAGCTGGAGAATGGGGCGGGGTGATGGAAAACGGAAGAATGGGGCATGGTGATGGAAAGCGGGAGAATGGGGCGGGGTGATGGAAAGAGGGAGAATGGGGCGGGGTGATGGAAAGCGGGAGAATGTTGCTTGGTGATGGAAATAGGGAGAATGAGGCGGGGTGATGGAAAGAGGGAGAATGGGGCGAGGTGATGAAAAGAAGGAGAATGGGGCGGGGTGATGAAAAGAGGGAGAATGGGGAGGGATGATGGAAAGCGGGAGAATGGGGCGGGGTGATGGAAAGAGGGACAATGGGGAGGGGTGATGGAAAGAGGGAGAATTGGGCGGGGTGATGGAAAGCGGGACAATGGGACGGTGTGATGGAAAGAGGGAGAATGGGGCAGAGTGATGGAAAGCAGGAGAATGGGGCCGGGTGATGGAAGGCGGGAGAATGGGGCGGGGTGATGGAAAGAGGAAGAATATGGTGGGGTGATGGAAAGCGGGAGAATGGGGCAGGGTGATGGAAAGCTGGAGAATGGGGCAGGGTGATGGAAAGCGGGAGAATGGGGCAGGGGTGATCGAAAGAGGGAGAATGGGGCGGGGTGATGAAAAGCGGAAGAATGGGGCACGGTGATGGAACGAGGGAGGATTCGGCGAGGTGATGGAAAGAGGGTTAATGGGGCGGGGTGATGGAAAGCGGAAGAATGGGGCGGGGTGATGGAAAGCGGGAGAATGGGGCGGGGTGATGGAAAGCGGGAGAATGGGGCGGGGTGATGGAAAGCGGGAGAATGGGGCGGGGTGATGGAAAGCGGGAGAATGGGGCGGGGTGATGGAAAGCGGGAGAATGGGGCGGGGTGATGGAAAGAGGGAGAATAGGGCGGGGTGATGGAAAGAGGGAGAATGGGGCAGGGTGACGAAAAGAGGGAGAATGGGTCGGGGTGATGGAAAGCGGGAGAATGGGGCAGGGTGATGGAAAGCGGGAGAATGGGGTGGGGTGATGGAAAGCGGGATACTGGGGCGGGGTGATGGAAAGCAGGAGAATGGGGCGGGATGATGGAAAGCGGGAGAATGGGGCGGGGTGATGGAAAGCGGGAGAATGGGGCGGAGTGATGGAAAGCGGGAGAATGGGGCAGGGTGTTGGAAGGCGGGAGAATGGGGAAGGGTGGTGGAAAGCGGGAGAATGGGGCGGGCTGATGGAAAGAGGGGGAATGGAGCGAGGTGATGGAAAGAGGGAGAATGGGGCGTGGTGATGAAAAGCGGAAGAATGGGGCGGGGTGATGGAAAGAGGGAGAATGGGGCGGGGTGATGGAAAGAGGCTGAATGGGGCAGGGTGATGGAAAGCGGAAGAATGGGGCGGGGTGATGGAAAGCGGGAGAATGGGGCGGGGTGATGGAAAGCAGGAGAATGGGACGGGGTGATAATAAGCGGGAGAATGGGGCGGGGTGATGGAAAGAGGTAGAATGGGGCGGGGTGATGGAAAGCGGGAGAATGGGGCGGGGTGATGGAAAGCCGGAGAATCGGGCGGGGTGATGGAAAGCTGGAGAATGGGGCGGGGTGATGGAAAGCGGAAGAATGGGGCGGGGTGATGGAAAGCGGGAGAATGGGGCGGGGTGATGGAAAGCGGAAGAATGGGGCGAGGTGATGGAAATAGGGATAATGGGGCAAGGTGATGGAAAGCGGGAGAATGGGGCGGGGTGATGGAAAGAGGGAGAATGGGGCGGGGTGATGGAAAGCGGGAGAATGTTGCTTGGTGATGGAAATAGGGAGAATGAGGCGGGGTGATGGAAAGAGGGAGAATGGGGCGGGGTGATGAAAAGAAGGAGAATGGGGCGGGGTGATGAGAAGAGGGCAAATGGGGCGGGGTGATGGAAAGCGGGAGAATGGGGCGGGGTGATGGAAAGAGGGAGAATGGGGCGGGGTGATGGAAAGCGGGAGAATGGGGCTGGGTGATGGAAAGAGGGACAATGGGGAGGGGTGATGGAAAGAGGGAGAATTGGGCGGGGTGATGGAAAGCGGGAGAATGGAGCGGGGTGATGGAAAGCGGGAGAATGGGGCAGGGTGATGGAAAGCGGGACAATGGGACGGTGTGATGGAAGGAGCGAAAATGGGGTGGGGTGATGGAAAGAGGGAGAATGGGGCGGGGTGATGGAAAGCGGGAGAATGGGGCGGGTTGATGGAAAGCAAGAGAATGGGGCGCGGTGATGGAAAGCGGGAGAATGGGGCGGGGTGATGGAAAGAGGAAGAATATGGCGGGGTGATGGAAAGCGGGAGAATGGGGCAAGGTGATGGAAAGCGGGAGAATGGGGCAGGGTGATGGAAAGCGGAAGAATGGGGCGGGGTGATGGAAAGCGGGAGAATGGGGCGGGGTGATGGAAAGCGGGAGAATGGGGCGGGGTGATGGAAAGCGGGAGAATGGGGCGGGGTGAAGGAAAGCGGGAGAATGGGGCGGGGTGATGGAAAGCTGGAGAATGTGGCGGGTTGATGGAAAGCGGAAGAATGGGGCGGGGTGATGGAAATAGGGAGAATGGGGCGGGGTGATGGAAAGAGGGAGAACGGAGCGGGGTGATGGAAAGAGGGAGAATGGGGCGGGGTGATGGAAAGAGGGAGAATGGGGCGGGGTGATGGAAAGCGTGAGAATGGGGCGGGGTGATGGAAAGCGGGAGAATGGGGCGGGGTGATGGAAAGTGGGAGAATGGGGCAGGGTGATGGAAATAGGGAGAATGGGCCGGGCTGATGGAAAGCGGGAGAATGGGGTGGGGTGATGGAAAGAGGGAGAATGGGGCGGGGTGATGAAAAGAGGGAGAATGGGACGGGGTGATGGAAAGCGGGAGAATGGGGCGGGGTGATGGAAAGCGGGAGAATGGGGCGGGGTGATGGAAAGTAGGAGAATGGGGCCGGGTGATGGAAAACGGGAGAATGGGCCGTGGTGATGGAAAGCGGGAGAATGGAGCGGGGTGATGGAAAGCGGGAGAATGGGGCAGGGTGGTGGAAAGCGGGAGAATGGGGCGTGGTGATGGAAAGCGGGAGAATGGAGCAGGGTGATGGAAAGCAGGAGAATGGGGCGCGGTGATGGAAAGCGGGAGAATGGGGCGGGGTGATGGAAAGCGGGAGAATGGGGCAGGGTGATGGAAAGCGGGAGAATGGGGCAGGGTGATGGAAAGCGGGAGAATGGAGCGGGGTGGTGGAAAGCGGGAGAATGGGGCGGGGTGATGGAAAGAGGGAGAATGGGGCGGGATGATGGAAAGCGGGAGAATTGGGTGGGGTGATGGAAAGAAGGAGAATGGGGCTGGGTGATGGAAAGCGGGAGAATGGGGCAGGGTGATGGAAAGAGGGAGAATAAGGGGGGGTGATGGAAAGCGGGAGAATGGGGCGGGGTGATGGAAAGCGGGAGAATGGGGTGGGGTGATGGAAAGCGGGAGAATGGGGCGGGGTGATGGAAAGCGGGAGAATGGGGTGGGGTGATGGAAAGAGGGAGAATGTCGCGGGGTGATGGAAAGAGGGAGAATAGGGCGGGGTTATGGAAAGCGGGAGAATGGGGCGGGTTGATGGAAAGCGGGAGAATGGGGCAGGGTGATGGAAAGCGGGAGAATGGGGTGGGGTGATGGAAAGAGGGAGAATGTTGCGGGGTGATGGAAAGAGGGAGAATAGGGCGGGGTTATGGAAAGAGGGAGAATGGGGCGGGGTGATGAAATAGCGGGAGAATGAGGCGGGGTGATGGAAAGCGGGAGAATGGGGCGGGGTGATGGAAAGAGGGAGAATCGGGCGGGCTGATGGAAAGAGGGAGAATGGGGCGGGGTGATGGAAAGCGGAAGAATGGGGCGGGGTGATTGAAAGCGGGAGAATGGGGCGGGATGATGGAAAGCGGGAAAATGGGGCGGGGTGATGGAGAGAGGGAGAATGGGGCGGGGAGATGGAAAGAGGGAGAATGGGGCGGGGTGATGAAAAGCGGTAGAATGGGGCGGGGAGATGGAAAGCGGATGAATGGGGCGGGTTGATGGAAAGCGGTAGAATGGGGCGGGGTGATGGAAATCGGGAGAATGGGGCGGGGTGATGAAAAGCGTTAGAATGGGTTGGGGAGATGGAAAGCGGAAGAATGGGGCGGGGTGATGGAAAGAGGAAGAAAGGGGCGGGGTGATGTAAAGCGGGAGAATGGGGCGGGATGATGGAAAGCGTGAGAATGGGGCAGGGGTGATGGAAAGAGGGAGAATGGGGCGGGGTGATGGAAAGCGGGAGAATGGGGCGGGGTAATGGAAAGCGGGAGAATGGGGCGGGGTGATGGGAAGAGGGAGAATAGGGCGAGGTGATGGAAAGAGGGAGAATCGGGCGGGGTGATGGAAAGAGGGAGAATGGGGCGGGGTGATGGAAAGCGGGAGAAAGGGGCGGGGTGATGGAAAGAGGGGGAATGGGGCGGGGTGATGGAAAGAGGGAGAATGGGACGGGGTGATGAAAAGCGGAAGAATGGGGCGGGGCGATGGAAAGAGGGAGGATGGGGTGGGGTGATGGAAAGAGGGAGGATGGGGCGGGGTGATGAAAAGAGGGAGAATGGGGCGGGGTGATGGAAAGCGGGAGAATGGGGCGGGGTGATGGAAAACGGGAGAATGGGGTGGGGTGATGGAAAGCGGGAGAATGGGGCGAGGTGATGGAAAGCGGGAGAATGGGGCGGGGTGATGGAAAGAGGGAGAAAGGGGCAGGGTGATGGAAAGCGGGAGAATGGGGCGGGGTGATGGAAAGCTTGAGAATAGGGCGGGGTGATGGAAAGCGGGAGAATGGGGCGGAGTGATGGAAAGCGGGAGAATGAGGCGGCGTGATGGAAAGCGGGAGAATGGGGCGGGGTGATGGAAAGCGGGAGAATGGGGTGGGGTGATGGAAAGCGGGAGAATGAGGCGGGTTGATGGAAAGCGGGACAATGGGGCGGGGTGATGGAAAGCGGGAGAATGGGGTGGGGTGATGGAAAGAGGGAGAATGTTGCGGGGTGATGGAAAGAGGGAGAATAGGGCGGGGTTATGGAAAGAGGGAGAATGGGGCGGGGTGATGAAATAGCGGGAGAATGGGGCGGGGTGATGGAAAGCAGGAGAATGGGGCGGGCTGATGGAAAGAGGGAGAATGGGGCGGGCTGATGGAAAGAGGGAGAATGGGGCGGGGTGATGGAAAGCGGAAGAATGGGGCGGGGTGATTGAAAGCGGGAGAATGGGGCGGGATGATGGAAAGCGGGAGAATGGGGCGGGGTGATGGAGAGAGGGAGAATGGGGCGGGGTGATGGAAAGCGGAAGAATGGGGCGGGGTGATGGAAAGCGGGAGAATGGGGCGGGGTGATGGAAAGTGGGAGAATGGGGCGGGGTGATGGAAAGCGGGAGAATGGGTTGGGGAGATGGAAAGCGGGAGAATGGGGCGGGGTGATGGAAAGAGGGAGAATGGGGCGGGATGATGGAAAGCGTGAGAATGGGGCAGGGTTGATGGAAAGAGGGAGAATGGGGCGGGGTGATGGAAATCGGGAGAATGGGGTGGGGTAATGGAAAGTGGGAGAATGGGGCGGGGTGATGGGAAGAGGGAGAATAGGGCGAGGTGATGGAAAGAGGGAGAATGGGGCGGGGTGATGGAAAGAGGGAGAATGGGGCGGGGTGATGGAAAGCGGGAGAATGGGGCGGGGTGATGGAAAGCGGGAGAATGGCCTGCTCCTGGACCAGGCCAGCTCTTGGACCAGGCAGGCTCGTGGACCAGGCACGCTCTTGGACCAGGCAAGCTATTGGACCAGGCAGGCTCGTGGACCAGGCACGCTTCTGGACCAGGCAAGCTCCTGGACCTGGCAAGCTGCTGGACCAAGCAAGCTCCTGGACCACGCAAGCTCTTGGACCACGCACGCTCTAGGACCAGGCAAGCTCTTGGACCAGGCAAGCTTCTGGACCAAGCAAGCTCCAGAACCAGGAAAGCTCATGGAACAGGCAAGCTCCTGGACCAGGCAAGCTCTTGGACCAGTCAAGCTCCTGGACCAGGCAAGCTCCTGGACTAGGCTAGCTCCTGGACCAGGCATGCTCTTGGACCAGGCCAGCTCTTGGACCAGGCAGGCTCGTGGACCAGGCAAGCTCTTGGACCAGGCAAGCTCCTGGATCAGGCAAGCTCCTAGACCACGCAAGCTCCTGGACCAGGCACGCTCGTGGACCAGGCACGCTCCTGGACCACGCACGGTCCAGGACAAGGCAAGCTCGTGGACCAGGCACACTCCTGGACCACGCAAGCTCCTGGACCAGGCAAGCTCCTTGACCACGCAAGCTCTTGGACCAGGCACGCTCCTCGACCAGGCAAGCTCTTAGACCAGGCAGGCTTCTGGACCAGGCAAGCTCCTGGACCAGGCAAGCTCATGGACGAGGCACGCTTCTGGAGCAGGCAAGCTCCTGGACTAGGCAAGCTCCCGGACCAAGCAAGCTCCTGGACCAGGCAAGCTCCTAGACCAGACAAGCTCTTGGACCAGGCAAGCTCCTGGACCAGGAAAGCTCCTGGACCAGGCAAGCTCCTGGACCAAGCAAGCTCTTGTACTAGGCAAGCTCCTGGACCAGGCAAGCTCCTGGATCAGGCAAGCTCCTGGACCGGGCAAGCTCCTAGACCAGGCAAGCTCCTGGACCACGCAGGCTCGTGGACCAGGCACGCTCCTGGACCAGGCAAGCTCCTAGACCAGGCAAGCTCCTAGACCAGGCAAGCTCTTGGACCAAGCAAGCTTCTCGACCAATCAAGCTCCACAACCAGGCAAGCTCGTGGACCAGGCAAGCGCCTAGACGAGGCAAGCTCTTGGACCAGGCAAGCTCTTGGACCAGGCAAGCTCTTGGACCTGGCAAGCTCCTGGACCAGGCAAGCTTCTGGACCAGGCACGCTCGTGGACCACGCACGCTCTTGGACCAGGCAAGCTCTTGGACCAGGAAGGCTCGTGGACCAAACACGCTCCTCGACCAGGCAAGCTCCTGGACTAGGCAAGCTCCTGGACAAGGCACGCTCCTGGACCACGCAAGCTCCTAGACCAGGCAAGCTCCTGGACCAGGCAAGCTCCCGGACCAAGCAAACTCGTGGACCAGGCAAGCTCCTGGACCAGGCAAGCTCCTGGATCAGGCAAGCTCCTCGACTAGGCAAGCTCCTGGACCAGGCAAGCTCCTAGACCAGGCAAGGTCCTGGACCCGGCAAGCTTGTGGACCATGCACACTCCTGGACCAGGCAAGCTCGTGGATCAACCAAGCTCTTGGACCACGAAAGCTCTTGGACCAGGCAAGCTCCTGGACCATGCAAGCTCCTTGACCAGGCAAGCTCGTGGACTAGGCAAGCTTCTGGACAAGGCAAGCTCCTGGACCACGCAAGCTCTTGGACCAGGCACGCTCCTGGACCAGGCAAGCTCTTGGAGCAGGCACGCTTCTGGACCAGGCAAGCTCTTGGACCAGGCACGCTTTTGAACCAAGCAAGCTCCTGGACCAGGCAAGCTCTTGGACTAGGCACGCTCCTGGACCAGGCAAGCTCCTGGGCCAAGCAAGCTCTTGGACCAGGCAAGCTCCTGAACCAGGCATGCTCTTGGACCAAGCAAGCTCCTGGACCAGGCAAGCTCCTGGACTAGGCAACCTCATGGACCAGGCAAGCTCCTGGACCAGGCACGCTCGTGGACCAAGCACGCTCTTGGACCACACAAGCTGTTGGACTAGGCAGGCTCGTGGACTAGGCAAGCTTCTGGACCAGGCAAGCTCCTGGACCAGGAAAGCTCCAAGACCAGGCACGCTCGTGGACCAGGCACGCTCCCGGACCAGGCAAGATCCTGGACCACGCAAGCTCTTGAACCAGGCAGGCTCCTGGACCAGGCAAGCTCGTGGACCAGGCAAGCTCCTGGACCAGGCAAGCTCCTAGACTAGGCAAGCTCCTTGACTAGGCACACTCGTGGACTAGGCACGCTCCTGGACCAGACAAGCTCTTGGACCAGGCAGGCTCGTGGACCAGGCACGCTCCTGGACCAGGCAAGCTCTTAGACCAGGCTGGCTCCTGGACCAGGCAAGCTCTTGGACCAGGCACGCTCTTGGACCAGGCACGCTCCTTGACCATGCAAGCTCTTAGATCAGGCAGGCTCCCGGACCAGGCAAGCTTTTGGACCAGGCAAGCTCCTGGACCAGGCAAGCTCCTAGACCAGGCACGCTCATGGACCAGGCACGCTCCTGGACCAGGCAACCTCCTGGACAAGGCAAGCTCGTGGACCACGCAAGCTCTTGGACCAGGCATGCTCCTGGACCAGGCAAGCTCTTGGACCAGGCACGCTTCTGGACCAGGCAAGCTCTTGGACTAGGCACGCTTCTGAACCAAGCAAGCTCCTGGACCAGGCAAGCTCCTGGACCAGGCATGCTCCTGGACCAGGCAAGCTCCTAGGCTAGGCAAGTTCCTGGACCACGCAAGCTCCTGAACCAGGCATGCTCCTGGACCAAGCAAGCTCCTGGACCAGGCAAGCTCTTGGACCAGGCAAGCTGATGGACCAGGCAAGCTCCTGGACGCACGCTCATGGACCAAGCACGCTCTTGGACCAGGCAAGCTCTTGGACCAGGCAGGCTCATGGACCAGGCACGTTCCTGGACCAGGCAAGATCCTGGACCAGGCAAGCTCCAGGACCAGGCAAGCTCCTCGACCAGGCACGATCGTGGACCAGGCACGCTCCCGGACCAGGCAAGCTCCTGGACCACGCAAGCTCTTGGACCAAGCAAGCTTCTGGACCAAGCAAGCTCCAGAACGAGGCAAGCTCATGGACTTGGCAAGCTCCTCGACCAAGCAAGCTCTTGGACCAGGCAAGCTCCTGGACCAGGCAAGCTCGTGGACCAGGCTAGCTTCTGGACCAGGCACACTCGTGGACCACGCACGCTCCTAGACCAGGCCAGCTCTTGGACAGGTAGGCTCGTGGACCAGGCAAGCTCTTGGACCAGGCAAGCTCCTAGATCAGGCAAGCTCCTAGACCACGCAAGCTCCTGGACCAGGCACGCTCGTGGACCAGGCGCGCTCCTGGACAAGGCAAGCTTGTGGACCAGGCATGCTCCTGGACCAGGCAAGCTCCTGGACATGGCAAACTCCTGGACCACGCAAGCTCTTGGATCAGGCACGCTCCTCGACCAGGCAATCTCTTAGACCAGGCAAGCTTGTGGACCAAGTAAACTCCTGGACCAGGCAAGCTCATGGACCGGGCACGCTCTTGGACCAGGCAAGCTCCTTGACTAGGCAAGCTCCTGGACCAGGCAAGCTCCTGGACCAGGAAAGCTCCTAGACCAGACAAGCTCTTGGACCAAGCAAGCTCCTGGACCAGGCAAGCTCCTAGACCAGGCAAGCTCTTGTACCAGGCAAGCTCCTGGACCAGGCAAGCTCCAGGACTAGGCAAGCTCCTGGACCGGGCAAGCTCCTAGACCAGGCAAGCTCCTGGACCACGCAAGCTCGTGGACCAGGCATGCTCCTGGACCAGGCAAGCTCCTAGACCCGGCTAGCTCCTGGACCAGGCAAGCTCTTGGACCAGGCAAGCTTTTGGACCAAGCAAGCTCCACAACCAGTCAAGCTCGTGGACCAGGCAAGCTCGTGGACCAGGCAAGCTCCTGGACCGGGCAAGCTCCTGGACCAGGCAAGCTCCTGGACCAGCCAAGCTCTTGAACCAAGCATGCTCCTGGACCAAGCAAGCTCCTGGACCAGGCAAGCTCCTGGACCAGGCAATCTCATGGACCAGGCAAGCTCTTGGACCGGACAGCCTCGTGGACTAGGCACGCTTCTGGACTAGGCAAGCTCCTGGACCAGGCAAGCTCCTGGACCAGGCAAGCTCCTGGACCAGGCAAGCTCCTGGACTAGGCACGCTCGTGGACCAGGCACGCTCCCGTACCAGGCAAGCTCCTGGACCACGCAAGCTCTTGGACTAGGCAGGCTCCTGGACCAGGCAAGCTCAACCAGGCAAGCTTTTGGACCAAGCAAGCTCCAGAACCAGGCAAGCTCATGGACCAGGCAAGCTCCTGGACCAAGCAAGCTATAAGAGCACGCAAGCTCCTGGACCAGGCAAGCTCCAGTACCAGGCTAGCTCCGGGACCAGGCACGCTCGTGGACCGGGAACGCTCCTGGACCAGGCCAGCTCTTGGACCAGGTAGGTTCTTGGACCAGGCAAGCTCTTGGACCAGGCAAGCTCCTGGATCAGGCAAGCTCCTAGACCACGCAAGCTCGTGGACCAGGCACGCTCGTGGACCAGGCACGCTCTTGGACCAGGCACGCTCCTCGACAAGGCAAGCTCATGGACCAGGCACGCTCCTGGACCAGGCAAGCTCCTGGACTAGGCAAGCTCCTGGACCAGGCACGCTCCTCGACTAGGCAAGCTTCTGGACCAAGTAAGCTCCTGGACCAGGCAAGCTCATGGACCAGGCACGCTCCTTGACTAAGCAAGCTCTTGGACTAGGCAAGCTCTCGGACCAGGCAAGCTCGTGGACCAGGCAAGCTACTAGACCAGACAAGCTCTTGGACCAGGCAAGCTCATGGATCATGCACGCTCCTGGACCAGGAAAGCTCCTGGACTAGGCAAGCTCCCGGACCAGGCAAGCTCGTGGACCAGGCAAGCTCCTAGACCAGACAAGCTCTTGGACCAGGCAAGCTCTTGGACCAGCCAAGCTCCTGGACCAGGCAAGCTCTTGTACTAGGCAAGCTCTTGGACCAAGCAAGCTCCTGCATCAGGCAAGCTCTTGGACCGGGCAAGCTCCTAGACCAGGCAAACTCCTGGACCACGGAGGCTCGTGAACCAGGCACGCTCCTAGACCAGGCAAGCTCCTAGACCAGGCAAGCTCCTAGACCAGGCAAGGTCTTGGACCAGGCAAGCTTCTGGACCAAGCAATCTCCACAACGAGGCAAGCTCGTGGACCACGCAAGCCCCTGGACCAGGCAAGCTCTTGGACCAGACAAGCTCCTGGACCAGGCAAGCTCCTCGACCAGGCAAGCTCCTGAACTAGGCACTCTCGTGGACCAGGCACGCTCTGGGAATAGGCAAGCTCTGGGACCAGGCAGGCTCGTGGA